ATTCAAAGGAGTATTTTCCAGTAGGATAATGTTCGCCCTCATATAACCTAACATATTCTACAGAGTGCCGACATGTTGCCTTGGCCTACTAGATCACCACATCTTTTTCCAGTTGAGCACATATGAGACATCATTGGACGAAAACTTCAGCGCCATACACAACAGAATAACCCGTTCTTCTGTTGACTGACCAAGTGCAACTTCATCCCATAAATTGACATCCAGCATTATGTGACACAATGCATGCACGTTTGCATTCAAAATTCTGTCGGTCACACCGGTTATTAATGTACCAGTATTTAACATTTGAAATGGCTCTTCTCGTGCTTGCATTAATTAACCTGTGATCTTGAAAACTGAATCAATGAAATACCTAGACAATAAATCTAGAAAATGTATTCAAATGAATTGCCGAAAGTTTATTACTCTACATTAATTTTTTCTTGGTGTTGGGATTCCACCCCATTATTTTTTCGCCATTTACTTACCTACTGCACACGTCGGGGCATTATTTATGAAGAACATTTCATGTTGAAATCTAAGTCTTTTTAGTATTAGAATATTGCGCATTAGCAATACAGAAAGTCTAATCAGGTGTAGTAACTCATAAAAAGTTTTTTTCAGAGTTTTTAAATTGCATGGTCTATATTTCTTTCACAAATGAGAATTTTTTCCTCCTATTTTTCACATTTCATAAAATCAAAATTTTTTATTAAAAATTGAATTGAGAATGCATGTTATAAACATGACCATAATGCATTTTAAATATAAAATATCGTTAGTGCTTTCAGTATCAGTTCTATCTTCAACAAAATGAAACTAGAAAACACCTACAGTCTCCATCAAACTTTTCTTATTACTAACTTTTAACAGGTAACATACTTCAAAATGTGCATAATTATTGTATAAAATGCTTGTGTTTTAGATATTGCATTCTGGTATTAAATTTCATAAGAATTTTAGTGTTATAAACAAGTTTAATGAAATACCTTGAATTTATATTTATTATGCATGCATATTGTTGCATATGTACCGGTTCGTGGGAGTGATTGACGACCACACTTGATGAAGAATGAAAATGGAGTTTATTAGCCAGTATTACAGGACAGCTCCAAAAATGCGCTTACAGTCATCGAAAAACTACGAGAAACATGCTGAAACAATCAGGAACACAGCCTTCAGACTATAATAGTGATAACAATTATAATTAATGGTGAAGACAGTTTCACGGCAAAACCTAAATGCAGTTTTCGATTCGGTAGATCGCTTTTGGAGCTCAAAACACTCTTCACAATAAAACTCACAATGCACTGCAGCTCCATGTACAGGCAGGAATTATATAGCTTTTGACAAGCCTTAGAGAACATTCTGGGGTAAACTGGTAAAAATTCATTCTAGAATGTTCTCGCTTGTCCGACATATCGCCAAATGGCGGTTTCATGTCAAATCTGTAAACCCTGCCTTTCTTTCCCATTCTCTGGCAACCTTAAACACAGTTTGCGAGGAAGCTATCTTACAGCGGCTGGGCATTTAAAGTTTAATGTTTATTATAAGTTTTATTTTTATTTCTCTTTCTCTATATCTTAAATCTCACCTCCTTTTATCATTGTCCACTACTATTTCCCTAGGCCTCAAATCATTCGTTGCTGGTGTCCGCTACAACTTGTCATAGTCACCATTGTCATTGTCTTTGCCACCATCCAATTTTTTCCCCACTTGTGAAGATTTTCAAAACCATCAAGTGCATTAGATCTTTGTAGTTTTTCCTCCCGGTGGAAGGCTAGCGAACTTTCAAGCTCTGGTGAAACCCTACTGATATCCACTCGTTTCATTGGCACGTCCAATGTTGCAAAAGTCCTACGTAACTAAGGGCATACTTCCAATTACATAAGTGTTTTAAATGACATAAATACTAAAGGGTTTGTATGTTTCAGTTTTTAAAGAAATCAATTTAAAAGAAAAATTATGAAATTTTTTTATATGGTCTGCCACATTCTGTACTTATCTTTATGAAATTTTCATATTCATTATAAAAAACTAAAACTGTAAAGGTTTTATTCCCATACGACAAAAATTAACCAATCTATTTAAATTTTGACCTCATTTTCGATTTGCCTTATTATATATTAGAATAAATCAATGTTGATTTTTCCCCTTTAAATGTTGTTCAATGATTTTTTTAATTTACTTCTGTGAAACATTCTTTTATTTACAATTTTGTTACAACTGATATGGCAGAAGCATTTTCACGCAAGTGATTTAGTTTTTTGAAAGCTAAATGTTATCAATATCTTTATCAAGTTTTATTATTAACTTTTAGCATGTAAAAAAAGCATTTCATTTAAATTAAATATTTAATTACTCATTCAAAAATGTTTAAAAATTGTTGTGGTCCAGTTGTTCCTTGAGTCACTGTATCGATCTCAATGATATTGATGTAGTCGGGTTCTCTTTCAATGGGAGGAGCTCTACTCAAGGACTAGCTCGCTTTCACCTATTACCATAGCTGCCTGTAGACATGGAGTTCACTTTGAAATTTTCGAGATACACACAGACGATAAGTGGCAGAAAATAATTAACGATTAGATTTGAAAATATGAAATATTTTGGCCTAGCAGATTATTTTTTAGTGTCCAATTGCAAGTAGTTTAGCATAGAATAAATTTTTGACAGAAGGAAAAATGGAGTTAATGCGAGAATATAATCGCACTATGATTTTAAAATGGTTAATCCCAGTTTAGGATCAAGAAGAATGTGTTCCAACAGAGACATAGCTAGAGGGGACATTTATCGCCCGACACAGCTTCCAGCAGGTGCCAAACTGATGTTATGAATTTGTAGAATGAAATATTTTCTACTCTTGGCAAACAAGATCAAAAGACCCCGGAAGCTGAAAATTCTATGCACAGCTCTGCATTCAAAATCTCCAATTAGCATTTTGAAATGAAGATTCATCTCCTGCTACTGTATTCAGATAGTTTATAGAATTTCATAAAGGTAGCAACTCTCTTTAGGATGAAGAACATACAGGAAGGTCGTTGTATGCAGTGATCCTGTATAATTTGTCTGCCATACAGAAAATGTTAACTGATGATAATCGCTGAACCCACCAGACAACACAGAAGGAACTTAATATTGTATCAGCTGCCTTATACAAAATTATTTATGGACAATTGCATATGGGGAGGGGAAAAAACTAGTTTACCATTGATTTCCTCATAATTTAACTGAGCACAAAAAAGAAGAGCTTTTCAGAGTCAGTAAAAAAACCATTAAATTACTTAAAGATGGTGGCCACCCTATGTCTAAAATTTTAACTGGTGGTAAAACGTACATATCATTTTTGACACTCTAACATGTCAAATCTTGGTCTTTGAAGATGATCCCATGCAAACTATGGTGAAAAGACAACATGCCATGAAAAAATAATCTATGCTGTTTTCTTAAGAAGTACAGGACTGGTCATAGTCAGCAAGCTGGAAGGACAGAAGACAGTCACAGCTAACTGGTGCACCACAAAGTGAATATTAGAGAACTCATGCAACACCATGACAATGCTTCTTCTCATTCGGCAAAATCATTTCTAGGACACAAACACATCAAAGTGATGAAACATCCACACTATTCATCCGATCTAGCTATGTGCGACTTTTGGCTATTTTTTAATTTAAAAAAGAATTTATGTTGATGTTATTTTAATTCCAAAGAGGATATTGTTATAATTGCATTTTAACAAATTGCATATAATTTGCAAGAAATGAAAGGCTTAAGGCATTTAAACTTTAGAAAATTTGTGTACAGAAGTGCATTGATGCTGGAGGAAACTACTTTGAACACTCATAAAATTTCGTAAGTATAACTTTAAAAACCTTAAAAATACCAAAGTGACCCTTGTATTAACTACTGACAAGTAGGTCATACAAAATTTTAACTTTCTCGTGATTCTTATAAGCAAAATTAATTTCACTTATAGTGGTATATTTAGTTCATCTTCATGAAAGCGTTCTTATGGTATGTGAAATAATTCAAAATAAAACATATTGCTGCAGTAATTCTGAATTTAAACTATGGAGAGCAAAGCAGTTTCAAAAGCTGGTCCTTACACAAGAGATCATTATGAAGCATGTGCAAGCAACTTCTGAGTTGTAGTACATATATGAAATAATACCAATCATTCCAGAGTGAAACATTACATAGTTTCAAAATGATTAATGATATGCTGACTAAGAAGTAACCTGTTTTGCTGGCCTTGTTGCTCTTTTTGAGATGAAATGTTTTTAATTAATTTTTAGTTTTTATGACATCCCTCAGATTATAAAAATTGCTATTTCGCTGACTAAAGTGGGGGTAGCTCAGCGAGTGCAAAGTCTTATATGACCTGGGAGGCATCTTGTCCCAGAGCTGCAATCGTGATCGTAGTTTGACATACTTTATCTGAACATTTTAGTATAATTAAGCATCTGTGAATGTTCAAATTACTGAAGCATTTACTTTCAAAAATAACTACAGATATCTTAAATATTTCTTTTGCTTTTAACCTAATGTTACACTTACGGAAAAAAAAGATGGTAACCGTAATTACAAACAAAAAATGCATCTTTCTAATTATATTAAATAGTGAGAAATATAAAATTTACAAACCAACTTCTAAAGGAATAACATAAAATCAGAATGTTATGCAACTCCGATAAAATACATTAACAGTTTTAAAAGTATATATTGTTTTACATTTAAAAGGCTTTTTTTTCCACTTCATGATTTAAAATGCAAAGAAATTCCTGATAAAAAATTCTACAGATTGCAGTATATAGCATTTAGTCAAGTCACTTGCACATGACTAAATAATTTGAAATAGCACGGAACAGTGTCTGTTATTTTTTCATTACTTTCAACAGATTTTTAACAAATTTCCAGAAAATCTTTATTCACTTCAGAACATTCCATTATATGTTCAGAAAATATTAATTATTAGATTATGAGCACTTTAAAACATTACAAAATACAAAACAACATTAATTTATTTATATTTACAAATACAGTAGTACAAAGCTTATTCCATTTTAGTCATCAGCTGATTTGTACTGAACTGCTGTATCTATTCGATGCACAGTTGTAGAGAAATTACTCAATCTTACTTCATCACAATCTGGTATAAGATGAGCTGTGGTGTCAGCCCACTCATCTGGCACTGTAATGTCTTTGTTTGTATATAGCAATACATCAAACATACCTGAAATGTAACAAAAAAATTTATAAATATATAATAAGATCCTATATTTTTCACCAATAGACCTTAAAAATGTCTAAAGAAACGTTCATAATAGGGTTTTTCTGATTTAAAAGAGACATCTGGCACAGCCAACCCTGCTCTACGATGTCAGGAAAACCAGTTTTCCTTCAGTTAAAAAAAATTTGAGGTTCACATATGCTGGAGCTAATCAAAACAGAGCCAATCCTTTCGTTCACATAAATTACAATGTGAACAGCCCTTAACAAGAAAAATAGTAAAAGAAGTTTTCTTTTAGATTGATATTACAGCATTTAGAATGGTTCTATTAGTTCTTTTAAAACTATGATTACAAAATAAATATTAAAAAAAGGTCAATGGATAAGAGTTTTATGATAAATATTGCATCTTCAATTCTGTCTCATATAATTTCCCAAACCAAGATTCAGCTCCTTTAAAATAGGTGCTCAGAGTGAAACACTACAGCAACACAAATTCATGGAAACAATTAATATAGTATACTGTAGATTATCCAGGCTAATGCTTGTGAAGTAGGTTGTAGATAATCCAAATTATCAATTTACATGCATATTGTACGTATTTATTTTTTCAGAAAATCAGTAATTTTGCTTTTGAGAATGTGTAAATGTTTGATAAATTTCTTTGCATATTGTTTGAAGTGCTGTGCTATCTTTTGTTTAACAATATCTCAAACAGTTTATACACCAATTCCATATTTTTCAATGAGATTTATTGATGATTTGCCATGTTTAATTCTTTCGATTCATGTAAGTTTGTGTTTTAATGTTAAAACAACTTTCTTGAACTTAGTACTTGTAGGATGTTTTTTATTCATTTTTAATTTCTAAAATTTTAAATAAATTTTTAAAAGAATAAGAAGATATGCACAATAATAGGTGTGAAAAAAATCAAAGTGATCAACCAAAACGATGCCTTTGACTATTCACATGAAAAATGAGTTGTGCCAGGTAATTATTAAAACTAAACCTAAAGGTACAATTCAGCAGTTTTTAGAGCATGCTCGGACTCGCTTGTTTTTTTACCAACTCTCATGCATAGCTTCGAGTGTGTGTGCATGGGCACAACTACACATGGATAATCCACACCAGGATAATAGAGTACATTAAAACATTTAGTTATTCAACAGCCGTCTAATCAGGAATCAATCTCTACCTAATCTTTGTTCAGCTGCTCTGTTTTCGTTCAGAGCCCCCATAGATAAAATGCATGTCAGAAAGCTCCATTTTTGTGTAGTGATGCATACCACTTGAAATCTGCATGGGGACAAAATTTTCTGCCCATACATTCCAATACAAAACCTGCTTGCCAGATATTTTAGAATCACCCTATTTGAATATATATTACATACTTGCCAACCTTCAACACTAAAAAATCAGGGAAATTTTCTCAACAACAAAAAGATTTTAAAATTCTACATATTTTTAAATAATAGAAATATGTAGAAAGAAATACATTTTAATAATAAAATAACTTTAAATAGTAACCTGAAAGTTCAGTTATTATTTCTTAAATGCTAAAAGACTTACGTAAAAAAAGTTTTATAACTTTTACCTTCTAATAACAGAAAAATAATCAGATCAGTTTTCCTAATCATTAAATAATATATTAACCGGATCACTAATCATTGATTTCAAAACATGAATTAATGTAATTCTGCACTGTAAAACATCGAATGATAGCAAAATGGTGTACAAAAAAGCAAAAAGCTTTGTTAAGGCCCGAAGACAAAAATATAAAAATTCTTCAGAAATTCATTTTTCTCACACCTATATTTAGAAGTAATAACTACATCTCCCTTTACTTGAGGCACTTTATAACTTTCAACAGTGCATTTTATTATAACTCTAAAAGACTTTATTTCTTCCTTAAAAAATGTAAGAAGTGGGTTCCACTGGTTGAGGATTCCAGTTAAACGTTTCTCTAAAGATAACCAGCATGTACATAAATATTTCAGATTTTTCTTATTTCAGTATTTTGCAGCTGTTGGAATTTTTTTTTTTTTTTTTTTTTTTTTTCAATTTTCCCTTCCTTTCAGCAATCTTTCCAAGACTGATAAATATCAACAATGTGTTTATCACACTTAACTGGCAAAGATGCTAACCCTTTTTCAAAGCTAAATTTAATATGTGACAGATGCATTTCATAATTTGTAAATATAAATATTCATTTTTTTAATATACCTGCAACATCAGTCTTAAAGCCTACAATTCCTGGTGCATTGTCGGCACTAAGTGCTAAGCAATTATTCTGAAGAACTGCATTTTTTTTAAAGTTTTAATAATTAGCTGTGCTAGATATTAAAGTCTATCAAATCTCCTTCTAAAGTGGGGACAGAAAAAGTAAACTACACTCAATTTCTGAAGACTCTGGATTAAAAATAAAGGAACAACATTGAATACAGTTTTGGACTGGTATTATTGCTTCCATCACAGAGAGGCTGGATTTTCCATTCTGCCTCTATATCAATCAGTAACTCTACTATCAGTAACTGAAGATTTATTTTTCATACCAGTTTCTTGAACCCATTTCTACAATTGCAACCGTTTTAGTCCTTGCACTTGAGTATTTCTCAGCGATATTACTGCAGGGAAACATTTTTCTAAAAATGCTGCAGCATGATCCGATGCATTCAGTGGCAGGTTGTGCTCCAGTCAAAGGGCAGAGAACAGGCATTCTGCATTAATAACTTTTTGGTCTTTTGTTTCCACACAAAACTTTATTTTTCCCTGTACCACTCACACTGCCCTTGTATAAGCATGTATTTAAGAACATTGGCCTTTCCATCCTGCGACATTGAAAAATCGCAATGACAAACGATACACATTACAATTACATTTCCATGATGAAATAATAGAAGGAAAGTCATCTATGTATGATTTTTGAGAAGTATGTGAGTATTTTACATTTTTCACAGATATAACTAAAATAAAAGACCAGTTTCTTAAACTCCTTAGGTAATATATGCCAGATAACTCACAGTGTCATTTGATTCTCATTGGAGAACTGGTACATGACGTTTTTGATTGGTTGGTTGAGTTTTTGGCACACAATCTAAAAGGTTATTTGCACAAGACATTTGTCAAATATTTCCAAACACTAGTTAAAACCCTGACATTAAACAAAACACGCTGAGGTGAAATGTATATAAAAATGAGAAGATTACAGATGTGAACATGAGGTACATTAATATACACAGTGTTAAAATGCAAAGCAATAATCTAAAACATGATTCAAATTAAATAGTAAAACCCTGACTCTTGCAGGAAATGAAACAAATTAGTGTTGACCTCTTTTCTGATTATTTGGTCAAGAGGTAAGTCACAATTATTAAAATGCTTTATGCGAAGTCTGCTAAGATAAGAACACTGAGTTAAAAAGTGACACACTGATAAAACAACATAACAATTGCAACACATAGGTTCACTTTCCCCTTTTAAAAGATGATTATGGGTAATGCGGCACTGATCAATTCTAATGTTCACTTTCCTCTTTTAAAAGATGATTATGGGTAACGCGGCAGTGACCAATTCTAAGGCGAGTTAAAATTACCTCCACCCTCCGGTTTCTAGCAGCCTTCCAATACTGAACTTTATTCTTGATGCTTCGTAACTTGTTGCTTACTTGAAGGTTTCAAAAGTGCTGCCATTTATCTAAGATCTTGTTTTTGATGGTCATGTTGATATCTCTAATTGGAACAAACCTTGCGGAGAACCCCACAGTAGATTTTGCAGTAACGTTTGCCAGTTTGTTCCCCTTAATACTTACATGGCCAGGGAGCCAGCAGTAAAGAATTCGATATCCACAAACAGATAAATTCAAATGCAGTCTTAAAATTTCAACACTTAGAGAATTGCGGGTATCAGCAAATGCCTCTAAAGCTTTAAGTGCACTATATGAGTCAGAGTAAATGATAAACTTTTTGAGTTTGCTTTGATATATATGAAAGGGCATAGTAGATAGCAGTCAGCTCTGAAGTAAACTCCGAGCAAGCCTCATGCAGCCGCAATCCTTCCTTATGGTTTCCCATTACAAAAAATGCTCTAACATGATTGGCCGCTTTTGAGCCATCAGTGTATATAGGAATGTAAACACTGTATCTATCTCTGTGCTCAAGAAAAAGCTGTCTCTAAATGATGTCACTTGTATTGCTTTTATTTAAATGATGGAAAATATCAACCAGATGGATTTGTGCATTTTCCCAAGGTGCGATATCAAAATGTTTCACTGTCTGGGCATTCAAGTTAGTTAAAAGATGTTCTTCAAGCAGTGGCCAAACTCTTAGGAGGAAAGGAGGCATGCAAGATGGTCGAGTTTCAAACAAGCGAACGAGCTATTCAATCAGTGTGCCACTTTGGGTACACAGAATTAAAACGATAAGTGCCAGCTTCACAAAATTTTACTTGTGTACTCCTCTAGGCCTAATTAGACTGCCTACCTTTTTTTCTTTTTCTTTTTTTTTTTTTTTTATATCAAAACTCCAACTTTAAAAGGTAGCATGCCAGAAAGGGTTAACTCATATTAGTTTTAAATTTTTACCTTGAAATCTTGCCTAAAATCAAACGGCGAACCCTATGTGTGCCCAGACCGGGCTCACCAATAATCTAGGACAACTGAGAGTCTGTATTCTTTGTTTCTCCACATCTCATCGGTCAGTTCATTGACAACAATGCTCGTTTTAGCACTCTTTTCAAAGCTCTATTCAATCAGTGTGCCACTTTGGGTACACAGAATTAAAACAATAAGTGCCATCTTCACAAAATTTTACTTGTGTACTCCTCTAGGCCTAATTAGACTGCCTACCTTTTTTCTTTTTTATATCAAAACTCCAACTTTAAAAGGTAGCATGCCGGAAAGGGTTAACTCAAGCATAATAAAGTTGCCGTTTTAAGGCTCTGAGTTAGACGAATTGAAGGAAATAATAATTTTTTTGAAATGACGCTTTTCAGAAAGAAATGTCGTAGGGTAATTGCTGCTACTGGAAACTGCAGGAAATGCCTCACCAATCGTATTTGCAATTTCTTCTGTTCTGCTGATTACTCAGCTGTCTTTCTCCAGAAAGGAAAATAAGTGGTCTTTATACATTCTGCATACTTTCTTAACTCATTTCCAAACTCTTTTACTTGGTGTAGATGATGTTATTGAAGACACATATGATATCCACGAATCCCTCTGGGTCTTACACCTCACTTTCCTTGCGTTTGCCTTAGCCTTTTTAAAGACCATGAGGTTTGACAAAGTGGGGTACTTGCGAAATGTTCTCCAAGCTTTCCTCTGTTTTGCCAGTGCTTCTTTGCATTTGTGGTTCCACCATGGTTTAAGATACTTTAGAGGTTTCCTTGTTGTCACCGGAATAGAGGTTGTGGCTGCACAAATAATGACACAGGGTTCATAGCCACATTTTAGTTAAAAAAATAAGCACCTATAAGCACTTTTCAAGCACATTTTAAGGAAAAAATAAGCACCTGTCTAATTACATTATACACAACTGCATAACCTTAAAAGAAAAATTAGACTTATAATTTAAAATATGAGCAATGCAATATTTATTAAGGTAATGAGCATTACCTCAACCATGGAATTTTTTTTTTTTTTTTAATTTTAAATGACAGTTCAATTTACAGAATTAGTTTACAATGAGAGGGGGGAAAAAAAAAAAAAAACTATGCAGAACTAAACTATATTACAAGATTTAATGATGAAATTTCAGTTCAATATATAGAAAATAATAATAAGCCATATTAATTGTATTTGTTTGGCACCTAATAATAAATACAATTTATTTTTTCCACTCATATTAATATTTAAATATTTAATTAAATCAAATTTGAACATTTTCTAAATTTTCATTGCATAACAGTTTTCCCTTAACATATATTCCAAGCAAAGTAATTTAAGTAAAAAAGAGAAACATTTCTGAAATCAGGAGACGGGAAATTGCTTCATGCAGTCATCCTTTAACAGTAAAAGCTTAACTAACCCGCACACTCGGAAATTGCCGAATATTCCAGATAGTAACTGGAAAAAGAGGAGTGGGGGAGATTGTAGCCGTTCTTTGTCGGCAAAATAAATGTTTTTGACCTTTCGATATGTGCATCATATAAAAATAGACCAACGGAACTCAGAAATATTCTGCTTAGAAAGCGCAGTAAAAGTCTTTTAAGTGTTCATAAACAAATCTCAGACTGAACATCAAAATTAATTATCTCTGCAAAATACTGCAAACGTTGTTGCGCAATACGCGTGGCATAATTTCCCGACATGTGATATTACGCAATTGGAATCAACAGCTGCCGGTATTCAGAGAATAAAGAATTAAATAAAGGAAAAGAAAGAGATTTACTAATCTGGGGTGTTTCTGATTCTAATTTTTCAACAGACTGTGTTAAATTTCCGGAACAGAATCAATTCTTCGCTTGGGTTGGTAGACTGGCAAAACTTTTAGTCCTATTCAATCCAGATTGGAAAGTGATCAAAAAAAAAAAAAAAGTCCATTGCTTGCTTTGCTGCAAATATTTGAGATTTTGCCGAGAAAGGGGAGAACCCCAAACTTCCGGTACTGTATAATGCATTGCCCCCCCAAAAGAAAAAAAAAAAAAACGAAATTATTTTGACTATTCGATTACTTTCACTTTATTTAAGTCCATTCCTAATATTATTTCCTTAGAAAACTAATCGGTGTTAGAACACACCTAATTTTTGGAAGTTTATCTATACTTCAGCAGTTACTGCACTTATATATTATAAATATTCATACATATGCTCATAATATAAGCATAACGATCATAATAAACACGAATATGAACTGACCACGCAGAACGAGAATGCAAATTTATTAAAATCTTGATAGCATTCAAACGTGTGTAGTATTTGGGTAGGAGGAAAAGAATACCGAATGTACCGGTATTCTTTTCCTCCTTTGCAAATACTACAGACATTTGAATCGCTATCAAGATTTTACGTTTTCGCAATTCCTTGGCCCAATAGAACGTTTTCGCAATTCTTTGGCCAATAGAACGACGTGCACCTGTCTGTACTCTCGCGCACACCATAGGTTACGTTAATGCAGAGGAAGGGGGGAAAGCAATTTTCGGGAGTATGATTCACCATCTGCCGTTGCATATAAGGAAGAAAAGTTGTTTATTTAGTTTCGGCTTTGGTACGGGGAAAAAATGCGCATTCATTAAAAATAAAGGATTAAAAAAAAAAAGCACTAAAAGCAAAAAAAATAAGGGCTTTAAAGAAAAGCACCTATAAGGGCCTTTATATTTTATTTTCAACTATAAGGACTTATAAGCACTTGTAAGGACCGCTATGAACCTGTGACATCAGTGACAGTTCTCACAGCATGATCGACAGGCACAATTTTTAACCATCTCTTCTGTCAGCTCTGCAAAAGAGGAAAAGTTCCCAGTCTGCCCTGTTCAGTATAAAACGGGTAGGTCTTGACATGGGGTTGACTCCTTCTTGTGTAATAGAGACAAAAATGGGAAAATGATCACTGTTGTAGGGATCACCTCCAACACTAAATGTACAAAATGGGAAATCAACAGGGATGGTGAACAAATGGCCAGATCTATAGCATGAAATGTCCTTGTAGGCTCATGGAAGCAGGTATTTTGTCCGCTATTGAGGAGAGAAAGGTCATGATGTTCAATCATCATGATTTGTCTGCCTCAGGATTTGTATTCTTACTCCCCCAGAGCGAGCTATGGACATCAAAATCCCCTATTATGATAAAGGGTTCATGCAGCTGCTCTATTAGATCATCAAAGTCCTGCTGATCGATGTGTTGATTTGGTGGCAAATAAAGGGAACAAACTGAAACTAAACTCGTATATTCGTTTGGATAGCGACAGCTTGGGGGTTCGTAGTTAAAGGAATGGAACTGGAAGGGTAATCAAGTGAGGTGAGGAGACTTCAACCTCCACTGACACGCTCGCCTCCCAGGATTATCTTCCCTTCTGTTGACGGGATTTTAGTTGAAGCCTGCTGTAGTCTTTCAAACATTTTTCTCCGAAGCGCAGCTCCAATGCGCCAGATAGAGCTTCAAAGTCTAGTCTCTGGTTTTCGGGAAGCGTCTGCAGGATATCCGCTGCATCTGCTCTCAGAGAAGCGGCGAGATGACAGGCCTTAGCTTGGGAATCCCATCCATTCGCATCCGCCAACGATAGAAAATTGTGTCTTTATACACTTGCCAGGATGTCTTCCCATCATATGTGGATAGCTTCAGAGATGGACGAGCAGGCATCGGTAAAGAATTTAAAACCCTCAGAATTGCTTCCCTGCCGTTCGCTACGAATTTTCTTTAAAGTGTCAACTTCTTTCGCAACGGCTGAAACCCTATCATCAATTTGTTGCTCGACGGCAGAAACTCGCTCTTCTATATGGTTCTTTTACAGAAGAAACTCTTTCTTCAATTTGAACCTTTTACGGAAAGAAACCTTTTTCTTCAATTTGCCCAACTTTATTTTCAACCACATCTATTCTGCCTTCCATAGCATCGAATTTGGTTTCCATTATGCAGGCAATTTCTCTTTTCATTTCGTATTGACTTTCTTCAATCTTTACTTGTACGGCTTTTATTTCTCTTTAACAGTTCCTTAACAACTTTTATTTCGTCTTTAAAAGTTAATTGACCAGCTTGGCCAATCTTTTCCTTAACGGATTCTTGATCCCGCTTCATCCTTCATCTTTCATTTCTTCTTTCAACGAGGTAAAGGCTGAGATCAACTGCCTTAATTGCTCTTCCATCGCTCTTGTTATTGGCATTCAAATCCCACTTCTGACACCAAAAATTGTTGCGTGCGTACGAGTTCGTTATGAAATGAATGCACAAGTCCGATGAAAAATGAACAAAAATTTATTATTATCACAACAAAAATGCTTAAATTTTCTCAAATTATCATGCAGTATTACAATATCTCACAGTAGTTATCTTTTAACTACTCAAATGTCCAATAGAACGTAATTCAAAACAGCTAAAGAACGCTAATCCGCGAATTCGCTACAATCAACAAGAGCAGTTTTCTAAACAACAACAAACTAAGCAACTCTACTACGAACTGAGACGTTTTCCTCCTTTTATAAGATTTTAAAATCACGCGCTAGAATTTTCCAGTACTTTCTCTCGAAATCAAAAAGAGATATTTATTTATTTAATGCACGCGCATCTTGTATTTTCAATTTTCCTGCTTAGCTTTCTTTTAATATTCGTCACGCGCTGCACTGCGCGAGAAATAAAACCATTTAATTTATAATTGAACTAACATTAGCTTTTTAAATACCAAATT